GCATCACAAATGAGGAATAAAGTACAGGGAATGGCACTGAAAAGCAGCATGGGTTGGAAGGGTCCAGTGGGAGTTCAGTGACTCATCTCCCAGGTACTGCCAGGTACTTGTGAAGTTGGGGTGAGGCAGAGATTCATGGTTATTTGTAAAGCACTTTTTGGAGTGATCTCATGGGGACTGTGGGAATTTGAAGTGGTGGGGCAGCCTAATTTGAGCACATGCAGTGTGCAGAGCCCATCAGATAAACATCACTCTTCTGACTGTTTTCACACCCTACTTTTGGCTGGAGGCAGGATGCTATGATAAACAGATACCTTTTCTGAACCAGTACAGCCACTTTCCTGCTCTTAGGTTAACATAAAAGGCAGCTAAGGATGGAGTATATAGGATGATCTTACGGCAAAGAGATAAGTGAGGGCTGAGCTGCTAGAGCTTTGGAAACAAAAGTGAGAGAATTTGAGATTGCCACAAAAGCTGAAAGGATTCACAGAAAGGGAAGGAAGGGCTTGTGCGTGCAATGATGTAAGCAGAGGGAAAGCCTAAGAATGAAAGTGTTACCTCCCAGGGGAATTGGCTTGCTTTGGCATGAGCCACCACTGCTGTGGATACAAACATTGTGCTTTGATCACAGCTGCCATAATCTTCCCCTGACAATGAAGGCAACAGAAACAGGCTAAATCATGGCACCTTTCTGGCTGAGGTGAAACTGCATTTGGAAAGGAAATTGAAGAGGGAAGTGCTGCTGAAGGTGAAAACAAGAGGTGAAAGCTCAGGTGGCAGGAGAAGGTCTTTATAAGAAGCAGGGTGGAGTGGCTGGAATGAACTGGGACTTTTCTTCCTGTAGATAGTGAGTGACAGCTGTGAGTGACAGTGCAGGGATGTTCCACTTACTGTCAGGACAAGCCTTGTTTTGGTTGTTTCTTGACTGGCAATCAGGAGAAACAGTTCCTGCCCCAAGAACTTTCCTGTCTCTTTCACGAAAATGCATGGCAAGTGTTGGAATAAGAGGAAGGTTAATTACAGGCTGAGAGTCTCGCTTGCACTTGGTGGCAGAGATTGACTGTGGAGAAGGTGACTGCTTGTCATTTCTGGGAATATACAGCAAAAAAGGCATGTATATGGATTGAGTGAACACAGTGAAGAGATCAACACAGTTCCCTGCGCATATTGTTCCAGATTCAGCCTGTGTTAATTTGGAGCTCTGCTCTGGGTTAGCCCTGCCATGTTAGCTCAGAGATTCTGTGTCTTGTCCTAGGAACAGCACAGCCACATCCATGTGGCAATGCAAGCCACATTAGAAATATAATTTTTTTGAGACGTTGCTTTCAGGTTAATGACCCCATTGCATAATCTGTGCTGTCTCCAGCTCCAGAGCCAACTGGCAGATCTTTTCATGGCACAAGCCAGTGCAAGTAGGAATGTCTAAGACTGTCAGAATGGCCAAGGCTCTATCTAGCCAGCTGGTCTGTTTCCATCAATGGCCACAAACAGACTTAAGAGTGAAATAAGAACAAGACAAGTGTATTTTATAGTTACCCTGAATACTTCTTCCAGCACTCAGAAATTTTCATTTCAAGGAATTCCTTCTGATGCCCAGCCAGGTCTATACAAAAGAAAATAGGAATATGAACAACGCATCTTCAGTGCCCACATATCATAGGAGTTGCATTTCACCAACAACACAAACAAGGGATTTCATGGACCAGGCAATAATCTGAACCAATACTTTTTGCATCAAAGTTACAGAGATTTTCCTCCAGAAGAAGATGGTTTCCACAGAGGATTCATTGAGAACAGATTTTATGAAGCAGAAGAGGGTGAGATAACCTTGGGAGGAGAGAAAAAGGACCAGGCAGCTACCAGAATCCAGCTGAAATTCTCATATAGGCATTTATCCATTGAAATGAGAGAAAGGCACAAAGAGAGAAGTTCACACAAACCTTCTGTCTTCCCCACATAAAAAGGATTTGGCTTACGGAATAAGTGCTTCTAACTGGACACTTCTAATTGAATACAGTTCTTCCTGAAGGATTTCCCACTTAAGTCTGGCCTTTAATTGGAAAGTTTCACCACTGTAAACAAGAATGATCCTCAAGGGATGGGTGTTTCTAGCAGGGGACACACAGAGCTGAATGTAGGAATTCCAATCCTAATTTATCTCAGGCAGACAAAATTTGCTTCAATGGGAGCATTAAGTGTCTGGCAGCTTGATATAAACTGATGGACTCTTGCTTTCTCTTGGCATTTACTCTTGCAAATGAATTGCCGTTACTTCTGCCTCCCTGCCCACCCCTCCAGTTGGTTCCTTTTTAATTTTACAGCTTCCTGAGCTTGACACTGGGAAATCAATAAGTAATTTAGAGCCCAGTAAATACAGAGGAAAACAAGTTATTTTGTACTTTTATAAATATTTGGAAGCCAAAATTATCTAAGAAAACAGGTGCTCAGTTGACACAGCAACCCATCCATCAGCATCACATAGTTAATTGCATAAGATCATAAACATTTATAATTAGAAGGCAAACAAACAAGAATTTTATAAACAGCCCTCTTGAATCAGGTTGCGCATTAAATATTTGTGATAAGGTAATTAAGAATAAATTTACAGTCCCAGCTCAGTGTTTAATACTTCAGAGAATGGATTTGATTCTATGGAGAATGTTCCACAGCCAAGAAGAAAACATTAGATTTCGGCTTTTTTTATCCCAGGCTTAACACAGTTTCAGGGAAACATTGGCTCTGCCATTGATCAGAGTGGAATTTCATTCATTACAGTTCAGACAGCTCATTTAAATATATGTCTAATGGGCTGATCCACTTCAGACCTGCTTCAAAGCTCACATCTCCTTGGCTGGATCTGCAGGCTTTCCCTAAGTCCTGTTTTTTATGTTTGATGCCTTGATCAGAAGATGCCAGAATTCTTAACTGTGTTTCAAAGTAGGGAGGAAAAACCACATTTTTCACTTACGACATCATGGTATTTGGTTATGGAAAGCCAGCATCACTACAGGGTTACAGCTGTGCAATCTCACTGGTATGGTAACCTGAGTAAAGAGCTCTCCCATACTGTAGTGACCAATGCTATTCCCTGTCCCAAAACAGCCAGATTTGAATACTTACATGGTCTCATACTTATACTTCCACAGCCAGTGAGCAGACTCAGCACCCCATTACAATGAATGTGAGAAGCTATTGCCCTGAAGCTGTTCTGTGATCAAGTCAGCAGGGCTTCTAGTTATGCTCAAAACCAGAGAGGCTAGAAAATCCATCTATACTGAAGCTAGACTTTAAATTCTATAAAAACAAAGGCAGACCCTAAGAAACCAAGTGGCTGCATCCCATCAGTGAGTAATGGGGAGGTCTGCCCAAAGGGTAGGATGACCTTCAGATGTTTTGATTTTTGGTATACACAGATTTAGTCCAATAATTGGCTGTCATCAGAAACTAGAACAGTCTGGAAAAGCTGGGTGGAGGGCAAAGCTCTAGCATTTAATTCATCAGGGATAGCAGTAAACCACTTTATTTTGTGGTGACCATCATCTTCCCTGCACAATGCTGGTCAAGGTAACCTACTCGTTTCAGTATGATTTTGCTTCTTACTTCTTGTGGGCCTTTTGTTCTTTGGCCTGTATTAATATGCTTGCAACAGGTAGATAAGAGAGCTACTCTTCCTAGAAACAGTTCTGATAATCTTGATCCTGACCAAGAATGGTGAAGCTGTTATTATTAAAAACAATGAAGCTACCCATGTGCTAACTCACCCAGTTCTACCTGCTGGTCAGGTTTTAATTACCTGGGGTGCAAAGGCAGTTTCCTAACAGAGAGCTTGCTACAAAACAAGGAGACTCAGATGCCACCCACCCCAATCTGCATAAAACTCACTCTCTAGTAAAACTTGATAATTATATTACAGTGTGTCAACTGAACGAGTCTACAGGAGATGTTGCAGCTTCCTCCAACCTCAGCAGCTAAGAACACCACACTGGTGCAGTCAGTGCTGGTCCTAGTGTTTTCAAAGGGTCTAGCCAAAGCCTGGCAGCTTAAATAATAACAGAGCTTAATAGTCAAGTAATGTCATAGTTTAAACAACTAAAAACATTATCTAATTCTTCAGTCCCCTTGCAAGGGTGTTGAGGATGAGAGGCTGCTGGGAAGTGAGCTAGCTGCTGGTGCCAGGGCCTGAGCTGCCCACCGCCTTTCAAATGCAGAGACCATTAGAGGTCAGGTGTCCTACAGCCCAGTGCCATCCCCAGGGCATCACGTCTGGTCTGTGCAGGTGGGTAGCAGGACAGATGCATTATGTGCATGCTCAACACACACACCATGTGAGCTCATCTGCCCTCTCTTTCAAGAGTGTTGTTTTCCTCCTTGGATGGGAGCAATGACTTATGATGAGGTACCTGCAGATGGTGCATGCTCATCTGCAAATGAGCGAAACTTTGCCTAGGATGACAAACAAATTACAGGTATAGACAGACCTTTTTTGGGGGGGAGGGCTCAGTTGCTGCCTCTGGCCTCCATCTGCGTGTCTGCTGCGCTGCTGTGTGTAGGGAGAGACTCGGGCTGTGCGCACACATGATGCCGGTGCAGCAGACGTCACCAACACATCAGATCCAGCTACACCCCCTCCAAACACACACTGTTAGCTGGGTGAATCATGCCTATGCAGCATGCAAAACCAGCCCCGTGGCAGATAAACCTTGGGCCTTTATTGGTAAACAGATACTGTTTTGCTCCAGGAGCATAAGTCACTCTGCTGCATTTACAATCCATTTATTGATTGCTGAGATAAAACTGTAATCCTTTTAATTCAGGGGAAAAGGGATCCAGCAGAGCAGGAGCACCGGTAATTAAAATACATGATTTCTCATGGAATAAACACTGGCTAACGGAGAGCTGAGATAACCAGCTAGCTGGGGGCAGGATGCTGGGGTAGGTTTATAGTTCTTTCTAAAGTTTTGTTTCTGTTTTATGTTTATTTCTTTCCCCCTTCCCTCCAGGTCTAATAATTCACGAAGGGCCCTCGGTTTACCGGATTTTTAAACGGTGGCAGGCGGTCAATCAGCAGTGGAAAGTGCTGAACTATGACAAAACAAAGGACATGGAGGAACAAAAAACAGGGACCAGGACAAATCAGCGTCCCTCCTCCCAAACCACCCACTCGTCCTCCACTGGTGGTACAGCCACTAACTCTGCTCCAGCCGACAGCGGGGCACGGGCTGCTGGCCATGCCACAGGCACCCTCTCTGACCACCACTGTGCTTATACCATCCTGCATATACTCAGCCACCTGAGGCCTCACGAACAGAGGAGTCAGTCTAGTAGTAACAGAGAGCTCGTCATGAGGGTCACGACGGTCTGAGCCGAGGAATTCAGGAGGCCTTAACACAAAGCAGAGGAGACAAAGAACTCATAAAGCAGAGGAGCATGGTGTGCCTTTTTCTTTCTCTCTTTTTCTTTCTTTCTTTCCTTTTTTTTTTTCTTCCCCTCCTCTCCTTTTCTTTCTCGGTAACTGCACAAGATACAAGAGGTGGCATCTGACCAGCTGAGGAAAAAAAAGCAGGTGGAGGGAGAGCTGCACACTCATGCTAGAGAGGTTCATGTTTTCCAGCCAGTTTAAAAAAAAAAAAAAAAAAAAAAAAAAAAAAAAAAAAAAAGAAAAAAAAAAGGAAAAAACGAAGAAAAAAGCAACAACACAAATCACAAAAAACCCAACAAAACAAGTGCAATACAGACTACAAACTGAGTAGGCAGAGTTCTGGGGAAGCAGAGGAACAGACATATTAGCATGTCTTACAAATCCTATTACGTGGAATAGGTAACGCTCTGTACACACTCCCCGTACACACATGCACACACACACTCACACAGTGTGAGATTTATAAAAACAAGGAAAGGAATGAAATATTTGGAGTATTTTTATTTTCCTGACTGTGATTAACCAGGGCTATGAGTTGTTTTGTTTCATGAGTCACTCTGGAGCCTTGTACAATTTACCATAGAATACCTGAAGTGAAATGGCTGGGGATTTTTCTGTATTAATTTACAGGAAGAGAAATTGAATCATCCCACAAAAAAAAATCTGACAAAACCCAGGCATACCCAAATTTCATAAAAAATCCAGGGTTTTTTTTCATAAGGTTCCTGAAGAGGTTTATGAGGGTGGAATTGGGAGGGGGTAGGGCACACCCTGACCTTTATTCGATGTATAGGCATTTTTGGCAAATTTTGTACAAATGCTCCACAGATGTTTCAAGCACAAGTACTGGTGTGTTTTATTCCTTCATAACCCCAAATCCAGCATCCAAATCTTGCTACTCACACACATTAATTTCCATGCAGACATTCCAGGTTATTTTCCTTCCATTGTACTTTGATCACAAGAAGATAACCCAGCTCAGTGGGTTTCTGCTCCCTTGCTGATTCAGGCACTCATGTGTTGGAGATGTACATCTCTTTTTTTCAGTGTCTGTATCCCTGCTGCTCAATTTGCAACAGTCTCACTCAGTCTTGTAGGCTGAGCCTTTCACTTCCAGTCTGTTAGTTTATTACAGAGTCTATTCCATTCCATCATTCAAGAGAGTTAGTCTGAAGAGGGAGCACAGTTGCTAATGAAATATGTAACACTTCTAATAAGTCTCCTTCTCTGGGATATATCCTCAAAGGTACCGGTTGCTCTTCAGGAACATTCTCTTTCAATGCACAATGGCTGAATCATTTGTGGATATTAAGGGGACACTGTCAAGTACTTTTTAAATAGTTTTTAGGGTTTGGGCTTTTTTTACTCTCCATTGTTTGTAATATTCTCTTAGCTTGAAAATAAAATTTCTTTCCCT